TCCAATGGATAGTCTTTCCTCCTTTATCGAATATTTCTCTAAGGTGGTTTGTGTACCTCTTACATCGGAATTCCCTAGGATTAAAGCTACAAATCCTGAGACCCCACCAAGAGCTGAATGAACCATAATCCAAGCATTGGTGTTTCTAACACATTTCCTAGATGGCCCTGAGTACACTGAAGTTTCAGAAAACCTTCAAAATGGGCCTCCAGCCTAGCTGTCCTGTCCCACCCAAGACCAAGTTCATCAGGATGCCGTGGAGGTGGGGGTCAGGCTTCTGCCACTGTTTCAAAGCAGCAGGTGATTTACTGTACAGCCAGCATGGAGAACCAGAATCAGTGCCAAACCAGTAAGAAAAGACTGGAATAAGAAAGCAAAAAGACAGAAAAATTGTTTGTGGCCTTCAGCAGAAGCCAGTGAAATTTAATGCTTTAAAAACCTAACAAAAGGACGCCTGGGTGGCTCAGTGGTTGAGTGTCTGCCTTTGGCTCAGGTCATGATCCTAGGGTCCTGGGATCGAGTCCCACAACGGGCTCCCCGCAGGGAACCTGCTTCTCCCTCTGCCTGTGTCTCTGCCTCTCTCTCTGTCTCCCATGAATAAATAAATAAAATCTTAAAAAAATAATAAAATATAAAACCTAACAAAGATTTAATTAAAGGAGGCTGAGTGGAGGAGAAGCTGGACAGAGGATATACAGGAATGTTCTTTTTTTAAGTCAAAAATTATTTCAATTTTTTTTAAAGCATGAAGCCCAATACATGGCTTGAACTCACGACCCTGAGATCAAGATCTGAACTGAGATCAAGAGTTGGACATATAACCGACTGAGCCACCCGGGTGCCCCTAAAATTATTTCAAAATTAAAAAATTGTTATAAAGCACGCATAGAGATGAATGAACCCAAGTCTCCCTCAGCAGTACACTCGGTAATTTTTTTTATTAAGAGGCAAGGTCATTGTCTCACGAGAATTTGAATATGTGAATTCCAAGAGTCAGCATCACCGAGGTTTAGAGACAAAAGCCTTCCAGAACTTTGTTCTGAAGCTTTTTCAATTATTATAGCTTTAAAGTAGCTTTTTGGAAGTTTGCTTAAAAGGGAGATAGATATAGATCTATCTATAAAATCTCCCACTCCCTCCAGAATATCAAACTCGACCCAGTTCTAGAAGATTCCAGGCAGGAGCACATCTGTTTACTTGTGTCCCTTTAGAAGGAATGTAGCTAATTGGGGCTCACCAGGGAGGGGGGCTTCTGGGGAATGTTTGTTGTCCTCTAATCTCAGCTTCAGAGTTGAGTGTCAGCCTTGAGCTGTTCCAGAGGCATGTTTTCCTATGGCCCTGAGCCCTCTGTGTGTGCTCTGGGCTGGCTGTTTATAGGAAATGGGCGGCCTGCTGACAGCCTGCCTGGGATGGGTGTTTACATTTCAAGTGAACATAATTCAGCATTTTAGGCAAAGCAGCTTAGCCAGTGCTTGGAGGTGGCGAACCTCAGAGTAAGTGACCAGTGAAGGACAGGCTGGCTCAGGGGGAGACCAGGAGGGCCCTGAAGTAGGTTCTGTGTAGCAGGTAACCAAAGACCAGTGTGTATGCCCTCCCCAACCCCCAGCTGAGTCTTCCTGCCTCCAGGATTTTGTTGGACAATTCAAAATTCCCACAACCATTACTTAGCAAGTGCATGCTGTGTGCCAATGGGCCAAACTCCTTTTATCATCCCATCTCATTTAAAACTGCCAGTCCTATCTGGGGAGGGCTGTGTGATCCTTAATTTCTAGTTGAGAAAAATGAGGTTCAATGACATAAAGAGACTCACCCAGGATCACATGGCTTGGATTAGGACTAACCCCAGAACCAAAGCCTTGCCCACTCTACCTATTGCATCTTGAGAGCATATGTAGCTTTTATTGAGCACCTACTATATGCTGAGTGCTTTATAGTCCTTAAACCTCACAGCAACTCCATAAGGAATGTGTCATGATCCTCCCATCAGAGCAGAAAGGACCAAGTCTTGCCTTGGACACAAGGTCAATTGCATGGTTTGTAGATACCAGAACAGGATTCATAGCTAGATGGAGACTTGAATCCCCTCGGGAGTAGAGATATGCCTACCCTGCTCACCCCTACTTCCTGGCCCACTGAGGTGATTAATACACACTGGTTGAATGCACAAACCCAGTTCCAGGTTAACCCAAAGCCATTCCTACCTATTTCTTCCTGTTGCCCCAGAACAGAGCCCCGCCTCCTGAAATATCTCAGTGATACTTATTTTCAGAGCAGCCACCTCTGAAAAGATGTTTGAGAAGAGGATAGATGGTTATCTGCACCTGGACACACACAGTTTGCCTCCCAAAGGCTGGAGAAAGAACTAGAAGGTCTTTCATGGTCTTTTCCAATTTTATGAAAACTAGCATGACCATTATTGCTATTATTTCCATCTAGGTGCACAGGTTGGAATCCTTACCACTGAAACAGACACGTCCTTTGGAGATGGACATGAAAACACAATCCTGAGGGCAAAACTAGTTGAGGCTATTCCAAGTCAAGATAGTGGCTCTCTGGGTCAGCAGGGAGTGGGTGGGGAGGGTGGGCTGGTGACTGGACAAGCTGTGTGGGGCTTCCAGGGGTTCTCATGTTCTGTTCATTAGGATGTAGTTCTTCATATGGGTCTGTTCAGTTTGCGAAGCTTCATCAAGCCATGCAGTCACAGCAGCACATCTCCTTAGATGTGTTTTTATTTTTTTATTTTTTTTATTTTTTTTTTAATTTTTATTTACTTAGGATAGTCACAGAGAGAGAGAGAGAGGCAGAGACACAGGCAGAGGGAGAAGCAGGCTCCATGCACCGGGAGCCTGATGTGGGATTCGATCCCGGGTCTCCAGGATCGCGCCCTGGGCCAAAGGCAGGCGCCAAACCGCTGCGCCACCCAGGGATCCCATAGATGTGTTTTTATTAACAATGATCAAACAGACTGGTCAAATGGATGGTGGATGGTGGTGGCTGTGTCAGCTTTGAATGCAGGTTACCCCTTCCTAGCTGTGTGGTTTAGAGTGAGGTACTTAACCTCTCTGTGCCTCCATTTTACCAACTGGAAATGGGTCTGCAGAGTCACAAGTGCCTAGGCCCTTTGTACTTCGGTTGGTAAGAGATTTAAAACCTTCAAGCATTCTTTAAATTTTGTTTTATTTTGCTGTTAATTAGCAAATGACATTAAGTTGATTTTTGTCTCCTAAAGAATGCATTTCTAGTTGGTGTATTCTATACACTTTCAATGTTTTAGAATTCACCAGAAAATACACATAAAGTGTCCACACAATACTTAGCATATGCATGCTCAATAGTGCTCTTAGCACTATTTCCTTTCTTAGATATAAAGTCACCAGACAAGAATTTCTTGGGAAGGTATTCTCTCCTAAGCCCATCATTGTGGCAGTGGATACAAGAAGGATATTTTTCTGATCAACTCTTATTTTATGGGAATGAAATGTCAGTATGGCCTGGCCCTCCTTTTTTGCATATTATAGTTGTACCCACGTTGGAAGCATGTATTAGACTACAGCAAGGTATGTGCTCTTTGTGGAGGGGAAGGGGTGGGAATCAACATGTCACTTGCTAATTAACAGCTAAATTAAATTAAATTTTTTTTTAAGTACGGGTTTCAAATTGTATGCCAAATCAAGTTTGAAGGCCTCATGTATCCCAGTTGGCCCCTGTCCTTAACCTCACCTCATTCATGCTGCTCCCAAGCCCCTACCTCAAGCTGAAGCCCATCTTGACTCAGCCCTTGTAGGAGGTGGGGTTGCGTTTCCACCTCCAGGCCTTTGTTTCTAGGAAGTGTGAGTGGAAATGCCCTACTCTCTCCCCTACTTGCACCTCCTCGATCTATTGTGGGCAATAATTTTACTCGTCTTCAAAGGGCCATTTCAAGTGCCACCCACTTGAGGAAGTCTCCTGATCCATCCACTCACAGCTGGGCTTCCTCAGCTCTCTCTTCTCTTCTCCCCCACCCCTGCCCCCATTCTCTTCCAGAAGGAACCTGTGAATATACTACAAAAGTGTCTTTAAGTTAAGGGCCTTGAAGGTGGGGAGATTATCCAGGTGGGCTCAGTGTAATCACAAGGGTCATTACAAGGGAAGGAGGAAGGTCGGATTCAGAAAAGATGTGACAGTAGAATCAGAGATCAGAGTGATGTGACCACAAGCCAAGCAATGCAGGCAACTTCTAGAAGCTAGAAAAGTCAGAGATGGACACCTTGCTTTTTAGCCCTGTAAGACCCATTCAGGCTATATCTTCCAAAATGGTAAGATAACAGATTTGTATAATTTTAAGCCACTAAGTTTGTGGTGATTTGTTACAGCAACTATAGGAACCTAATACAGGTCTAGAACCATCCAGCACATTTTCAGGTTGGTCTTGATGAACTGGTCCACAGTCCCTGCTTTTATGCAATGACTTAGATTTTAGATTTTCTCCAGGGTCTACATAAATTAGACACCCACACATGTACTGGCCCTCTCCCATATACAGAATCAGGTGCCAGGTCACCCTCTGGTTGGAGTAGGTATCAAATGTTACTCTACGGGCTGAAATGGTCAATGGAAGGTTTCCAAGGCTGAACCAGGTCCTGGGGAAACCTAGGCAAAGTATGAGGCCTTCTGGACCAGTCTTCCAAACCTGACCTTCTCTGGAGGGATGCTAGCATATTGGAAGAGATGGTCAATGCACCTCAGCACCTCTTGGCAAGGCAACTGAACATGTCTGAGCCTCAGTCCCTGCTGTGTAAAATGGAGCTCCTAGGGATGCTTACCTTACCTTGTTGTTGTTGTCTCAAGTGAGGAAATGTGTGTGAAAGCTCATCGCAAATACTCCTTGTATCCAGCACTATTAAAGGAAACTGTCCTAGTGAACTCGACTCCCCTTCCCATAATACCCCTAAACTGCTGAGATTGACCTTAAAACTCTGTAAAGGTGTCAGCACAGGATGATTCTGTGTCTTCTCTTTCAGGTGAAGTTTATTACAGGAGCAAATACCTGAGAAGTGATACCTACAAAGACAACATCGAGGCCAACAGGATTGTGGTGTCAGAGTTTGGAACGATGGCCTACCCAGACCCCTGCAAAAACATATTTTCTAAGTAACTGTCCATTTTGAATCTAGTCATGCTTTTCAATATCCACCAGCATGTGCTCCTCTGACAATCCTCTTTAGGGCACATGAAAACCTTCACCTGGCTGGGCTTTCCCTGTATATGCCACATAGTTCTGGATCACTGATAGCAAGAGAGGCAAAGAGCATCTGACAGATTATTAGGTATTTTTTCCATGTGGCTGGTAGGAGAGCCATATGGTAATTATCTCTCAAAATTATAAACACACGTTCTCTTCAGGCTAGAGATAGGCTTTCTCGTGGCTGGAATGGCGAACTTATAACCTTATCCACGGCTGCATCATTTGTTATAATGAGGAACTGAAAATAACCCTAATGTTCATCAACACAAGGGTAATTAATGAGTGAAACTGTACAAGAAAATATTAGGCAGGAACAACAACAACAAAAAAGTGATGAGGATCCTGTCTATGCACTGAATGGAGAGATTTCCCAGATAGCTTATTGAGTGGTGGGCGCAGGGCAGAACAAGGTGTAGAAAGAATGTTTTGTGTTAGAAGAGCATGAAGAAATCTGGATTTATTTTTGCTTGTATGTGTGCAGAGAAAGTGGGAGGGTCTGTAAAGTGGGAAATTGGCAAATGAGAGAGATATTGGGAGAGATTTTTAGTTGGATACGTTTCAAATCATCTGGGCTAGGATGACTATGAATATATTACACACTTGATGATTAAACTCTTGGCTGGGGAATCAGACCCACCGTCAGGATCTCGTGCTTGATACTCTTCGGATATAGAAGAGTTATGAAATGTGCTAGCGGTAGACTGCCCAGAGATGGAAGAGTGCTCCTGCTTTTCAGTAACTGACGTCATCTTTCTAGTTCCAGGATCCAGTGCTGGGGCTGGCACACAGCAAGCCCTGAATTCACATTTGCAGGTTGGGGAGGAGCCAAGCAGGAAGCGGGGAGGGGGAGAGAAGGAACACAAAACCAAGCCTCCCCCACGGCAGTTTTCTTGGTTCACCATTCGCCAGCAGGGGGGGCACTAACCAACACATGGATCCAGGATCTTCTGATCAAAACAATGATGAGTTTTTCTCCCATAATTTGTTTGCTTTCCTTTAAAAAAAAAAAATACTGAACTAATTTCCTGGACAAATTCAAAAGGTCCATTGTAGACTCTTATTCCTTCCAAAAGTAAGGATTATCTGTTTTGCTAGTCTTAGGAGGCCATTATGGATGGATATGTATGACTTCTGTAGAGCTTTTTTTTTTTTTTTCTTTTTCTGTAGAGCTTCTTAAAATACTTTGGAACAACTTGGCTATTGTGGACATTGCTGCTATAAACATTGGGGTGCAGGTGTCCTGGTGTTTCACTGCATCTGTATCTTTGGGGTAAACCCCCAGCAGTGCAATTGCTGGGTCATAGGGCAGTTCTAGTTTTAATTCTTTGAGGAACCTCCATACAGTTTTCCAGAGTGTCTGTACCAGTTCACATTCCCACAAGCAGTGCAAGAGGGTTCCCCTTTCTCCACATTCTCTCCAACATTTGTTGTTTCCTGTCTTGTTAATTTTCACCATTCTCACTTGTGTGAGGTGGTATCTCATTGTGGGTTTGATTTGTATTTCCCTGATGGCAGGTGATGTGGAGCATTTTCTCACGTGCTTGTTGGCCATGTCTATGTCTTTTTTAGTGAAATTTCTGTTCATGTCTTTTGCCCGTTTCATGATTGGACTGTTTGTTTCTTTGCTGTTGAATTTAATAAGCTCTTTATAGATCTTGGATACTAGCCCTTTATCTGATGTTATTTGCAAATATCTTCTCCCATTCTGCAGGTTGTCTTTTAGTTTTGTTGACTGTTTCTTTTGCTGTGCAGAAGCTTTTTATCTTAATTAAGTCCTAATAGTTCATTTTTGCTTTTGTTTCCCTTGCCTTCATAGATGTATCTTGCAAGAAGTTGCTGTGGCCAAGTTTAAAAAGGGTGTTGCTTGTGTTTTTCTCTAGGATTTTGATGGATTCTTGTCTCACATTTAGATCTTTCATCCATTTTGAGTTTATCTTTGTGTATGGTGAAAGAGAGTGCTCTAGTTTCATTCTTCTGCACGTGGATGTCCAATTTTCCCAGCACCATTTATTGAAAAGACTGTCCTTTTTTCCAGTGGAGAGTCTTTCCTACTTTGTTGAATATTAGTTGACCATAGAGTTGAGAGCCCATTTCTGGGTTCTCTATTCTGTTCCATTGATCTATGTGTCTGCTTTTGTGCCAGTACCACACTGTCTTGATGATCACAGCTTTGTAGTACAACCGGAAATCAGGCATTGTGATACCCCCGGCTCTGGTTTTCTTTTTCAATATTCCCCTGGCTATTGATTCCACACTGTGGAAGGAACCTCAGTGTCCATCGAAAGATGAATGGATAAAGAAGATGTGGTTTATGTATACAATGGAATATTCCTCAGCCATTAGAAATGACAGATACCCACCATTTGCTTCAACGTGGATGGAACTGGAGGGTATTATGCTGAGTGAAGTAGGTCAATTGGAGAAGGACAAACATATGGTTTCATTCATTCGGGGAATATAAAAAATAGTGAAAGGAAAAATAGTGAAAGGGGAAAGGAGAGAAAATGAATTGGAAATATCAGAGAGGGAGACAGAACATGAGAGACACCTAACTCTGGGAAATGAACAAGGGGTAGTGGAAAGGGAGGTGGGCGGGGGGATGGGGTGACTGGGTGATGGGCACTGAGGGGGGCACTTGACGGGATGAGCACTGGGTGTTATACTATATGTTGGCAAGTCGAACTCCAGTAAAAAAATATATATAGAAAAAAAATACTTTGGAACAACCCACTAGCTCTTACTGTCTCTGGTGTGGGAGACCTTTGGATTTTTGAGAGCCCAGGAGGGTTCAGTTGGTGGCCATTTTTTCCCAGATGACTCACTTCTTAGCTAATTCAACATGGTGGTATATTTGGACAACTTGATACTGGAGTCCTCCAGATTCCTCAAGTGATCTTTTGGGACCCCAAACTTTTCTCCCTTAATTGAAATAGAGTATTTTAAGTGGTAGGAAAACTTAAAGCCATCTTAAGTAGAGCTTTCCAATTGGGTAGACACAGCCATTGATTTGCTATTGATCTGCTTTCCCCCACAGAGCTTTCTCCTACTTGTCCCATACCATCCCTGATTTCACAGACAATTGCCTGATTAACATCATGAAGTGTGGGGAAGACTTCTATGCGACCACAGAGACCAATTACATCAGGAAAATCAACCCACATACTCTGGAAACCCTGGAGAAGGTACTAGTGAATCTATTACAACCAGCATTAATTCCTGGCTTGTGAAAGGGACCCCGGGTGGGGCCATGTGGCCTGCAGGAACTCATGAGGGGCTGCCCCTCCTCTAATGCCATTGGATCCTGAGCTTCCCCAGTACAGCATTTAGCACTATATTCTAAGCTCCCTTAGGGCAGGGGCTGTGTCATTTCATTTCTGTGTCTGTGTTTGTTCTTAGGACTACTAAAACAAAGTACCAAAGTACCAAAAACAAAGAATCAAAGTTCTGTTAGGGCAACAGAAACTTATTCTCTCACGGTTCTAGGGGCTGGAAATCTGAAATTGAGGTGTTTGCGCAGCCATGCTCTCTGAAGGCTCTAAGGGAAGATACAGGCTTGCCTCTTCCAGCTTCTGATGGCTGCCAGGAATCCTCAATGTTCCTTGGCTTATAGATGCATCACTCCAATACACATCATTGGATTAGGGCCCTCCTCCATCCAGAATGACTTTATTTTAACTTGATTACATCTACAAAGGCCCTTTTTCCAAATATACGTACCAAGAATTAGGGCTTCAACATATCTTTTTGGAATACACAATTCAACCCTTAACAGTGTCCACTGTCTTGGCACAGAGTGGGAGTTTAATGGGAGTTTGAACGATTGTACCAAATTGTCTGGACTTGAGTAGCCCTACCTTGTATTGACCTGAAGAGGGAGGCCTTAGGCGGAGAGCAAAGAGACAAAAATAAATGTCCAAGCAGATATCTTTCCTGGGCTGAAGCAAGTCAACATTTTCATGAAAATCAATAGACCCACTCATTTTTCTCCAGCTGGCTATTCAAAGCCTCAATGTCTTCTCCATACATTTTAATGATCTGTTAAAGGGAATGCTTTTCTTAGCTGTGAAATTATGTCCAGCACCTTTTAAGCTGAGCGGCATCGGTCCAACTGATGTATGCTTTCCACAAAGCCTCAGAGAGGAAATACTAAGAAAGAATGAAGCCTTCCCTGACTTTTGGCTGGAGGTCGTGCTATTCTGAGGAAGGAAAGGAGGACAGTTGGTTCCCCGGCCATGCATTATTCTGTGGCTGTGCCCTGTTGGGAGTTTTTGGGGGTGGTCATTATTGGGCTTGTTAGTCATTTGGCTTTGACCAAGTGTTTTTGTAACTCTGTTCCCAGAATAATGCTATGAGAGAGGCCCAGAGATTTATGCCTCTGTGGTATGCAAAAGGAGAGAATTTAAATGACATAACCAGAGCAGCAGTTAAGATTAGAGCTAAAGGCTGCCTCTCTGCCCAGGTCATTGCTCTGTGGTGAGGCATCTGCTGCCATGCTGAGGACACCCAGCAGGACCAGGGGCAGCGGGGCCGAAACACAACAGCCACAGAAAACATATACAGCTCACCAACTCCCCTGCAAGCTGTATGCTATCAGGTCACATGAGTAAACCTCCTCTTTAAAGGTGAAGTCTGTCTTATTTTCAGATCAGAAGATCTGCAAAAGTAGCCATCATCTCTCTGAACCTAGAGCAGTTGCATTTCATCAAGTTTCACCTGCTCCCATTTTTAAAACCAGGTGGCTGTCATTTTGCAGGTTGATTATCGCAAGTTCGTGGCTGTAAATCTGGCAACAGCACATCCTCACTATGATGAAGCTGGAAATGTTCTTAATATGGGCACATCCATCATGGACAAGGGGAAGACAAAATATGTGATCTTTAAAATCCCTGCCACAGTCCCAGGTAGGTCTTCTGGGGATATAATGAAGCACAGACACCAAGGGTGGCTCCCTCCAAAGAGTTCTGATTTTTATTGATGACGTAAGACACAATCTGAGACTTTCCCTCATGGGTGATTCAGAATGACCATGAACATAATTTTTTCCTTTAGGAGGAAAGAGATGTTGCTGGGCTTCCTTTTGAAGAATGAATTCTTTTACTATCCTAACCTGATTTTCTTTAGGCTCTAGTTCATTCATTCATTAATTTATTCATTATTCATCCACCATCTACCTGTCCATCCATCTGTCTGTTTATCCACCCATCATCCATCTAACTATCCATCATCCATCCACCTATCCATTCATCATCTGTCCAACCATCAGTTTGTCCACCCATCCATCCACTTGCCCATCAAATATCTTTCCTTCCATCCATCCTTCCTACCATTCATCCTTCCATCTGGTTTTTTTTTTGTTTGTTTGTTTTTGTTTTGTTTTATTTTTTGTGCTGCCCACTTTCATCCCAGCCCCTGAACTCAGGTTCCTAGTGTCGATATGGGAGCTCAGCCCTGCTTCAGACCTTCAGCCTTTCAGACACCACTCCCCCCGCCCCCCAACTCTGTTCTCAGGACCTTATGTACCTTCTCCTTTTAAGGCCAGGAAACTGGAGAAAATCCCAGGCCAGTTGTTGCATATTCCTGAGAAGAGGAGGCTCCTGACCCTTATTTGTCCAGGACCCTCCTGGGAAGCACACCCAGGAGACTAGGCCTCTGAGGGTGGTTGCACAGGGCTTAGGAGACAGGGAAGAACTATGAGGGTGCTTGGCTTGACCTGCCAGCTTAGGGAAATTGGCTTCCTTCTGTGATCCCTGCTGGCCCCTTCCCTCAGGTCCTGGAGAACCTCCTGAGCTAATTACTAGACTCTGTTGGCTGAGGTGAGCCCGTAAGGTCAGAAGGCACAATGAGTATTCTTGTTAAATGGAATCCCATGGCTCAAGCTAATGGAGGAATAGAGGGTCTAGCCAGGATCCTAGAATGTCAGCCCTGGGGATGGTCTAGGCATCTGAGTTTGTCACCTCATATTACAAAAGGATGATGATGAGGCCCAAGGGGATCAGGTGACATGCTCACGGTCATGCTGGTCACAGGAGCCACCAACATCATGCCACTGGCTCCCCACTGAGCACCCGCTCTCTGCTAGTGGCTTCCCTTCACGCCTGTGTCTTGCCTCCTAGGCCAGGGTGCTTTTCATTTCAGTTTGCTTTGTGCTCCATTTGTTTTGTGAATAAAAGAACCACCCCCAAGCCCCACAGCATCCCTCCCACCAGCCAGCTGTTTACAGTGTGCACAGGTGGCCACAAGAAAGGTGGGGACGCTTGCAGATAACTCATTATAAACCAGCCCCAGGCCTGGGTGGGGAGGCCTTTTGGCCAGTAGTGACTCATCCTTACAGAGGAATAAGAACACGAACATGTACCGAGCACCTTTGCTGTCTGGATGCTTGGGTGAGCTACTTGGACTACTTCATGATTTCATTCTGTTCTCTCTCCACTCTGTGTCATTATCCCTAATAACAGAGGAGGTAGCCAGGCTAAGGGGGCCATGTCTTCTTGGCTTAACCTTTTGCCTTTGGCCATAATGATAGACCATTCCATTATGCCTCAGTTTCCCATCTATAAAATGGGGATCATACAGTCTACTTCGATTGTCACAAGATGCACAATAGCCCCTTATCACATTGGGTACTTAGTCTCACTCCCAGGTGTTTCACAATGGTCAGAGTGAAGAAAAATTCATGGAAACCCTATGAGACACATCTTAAATGGTGGTCCTCAGCAAAATATTAAAGTCGAAGCCTGTGAAGCCAGCCCATCCCGTGGGTGCTTGATAGAAATGCAAGACCTCAGGCCCTAGCCCCACATACTGAATCAAACTCCACACTTTGATCATGATCCCCAATGATTTGTGTCCATAAAGAGGTGTTGTTCCAGAACAGGGGCTAACAAGCTTTATCTGTAGGGGCCCAAGAATAAATATCTGAGGCTTTGCAGACACACGGTCTCTGTTGCAACTACTCAGCAATGCCACTGCAACCTGAGAGCAAGTGTGGCCATGGACCCTGCATAAAGGAAGGAGTGTGGCTATGTTTCCAAAGAAACCCTGATGCAAAAGCAGGTGGAGGCTGGCTTCAGCACCTAGGCTGTGGTACAGACCCCTAGCCCAGAGGCCTGGCTCTGTGGCTCAGTGTTTTCAGATCGTAGCACCAGGTCTCACAGAGCAGGAGGGCTTAGGTGGGAAGCACTCAGAGCCCCTATGTCAGCCAGGCAGCAAGCCCTTCATTGGTTTAGTTGTCAGCTCTCATCCAAAGGATCTTCTTAGTGGCCAGGTCAGTTTGAAAGGCTCAGCTGCAGGTGATGGTGGCGTTGTCTGCAGGCAGCCAGGTCCTGTGCTGCTCCTGAGGCTTGCCTTTCTCTAGAGGACAAGAAGGAGAAGAACCCCTTGAAGCACACGGAGGTGTTCTGCTCCATCACCTCCCGCTCCCTCCTCTCCCCGAGCTATTACCACAGCTTCGGAGTCACGGAGAACTACGTCATTTTCCTCGAGCAGCCTTTCAAGCTGGATATCCTCAAAATGTCAACTGCGTACATCCGGGGAGTGAACTGGGCTTCCTGCATGGCTTTCCACAAGGAAGACAAGGTAAGGCCTGGCTGGGACCCCCCAGCCCCACTGGGCCAGGAGACCCCTCAACACAAGGACGGCCAGAATGAGGTATCCTGGGAAGCAGACTGAGATGGAGGTTGGCATGCAGGAGGTTTCTTAGGGAGGGAGTAATGAGCTACCATCCAGTCTCCCCAGAGGCATCATCCAAACTTCCAGAGGGCTCTGAAGCTGGATGGTCCTGCAGAGTTGTCCCAGGTTAGGGCAAGGGGGCCGGGGCCCCAAGTCAATGAGTCAGGGGAGCAGACTGTCCCTGTCAGAAGAGCGAGTGACCTTGGGCAAGCCAGCTCTCATCAGCCAGGCAGTCTACACCAGCCCAGCAGCCAAGGGCTACTCATCAGTGCTGACCTATATCTGGGCTTCTTGCAGCTTCCACCATGGGCCTTGTCCATGGACAAGGCCCTTCCAGCATCCTGGCAGCCACTGGTAATGTCAGGGAAGAGGTTCTATATATGATTTAGACATCATAATGACAGAACATTCACCAGATAGTACAGCCAAACATCTTCAGGCACACCTGAGTGCTCAAAGTGTGGAGGTGTGCATATGTGTGTGTGCCTGCCTGTGTACATGCATGCTTGTATATTCAGGGGTGTGTGTATGTGCACATATGTATGTGTATGGATATATCTATTCATGGATATGTGTATGTGTTACTTCCTGTTGAAATGAGTAAATTTTTACGTGTGATAAATATCAGGTAATTCTTAATGTCCTCTATTCAAACAATACACAAGTAGAGAAAGTAACATGTCAAGTCCCCTCTCCTCTCCCTTGCTGCTGCCAATCCACTCTCCAGAGGTAACCACCACTACACAACTTTAAGACCTGTCCTTCTCAGGGAGGAGAGTGAGGTCCCTCCTCTGCTCAGAACATTCTAGTGATTTCTCATCTTCCTCAGGATAAGTTCCAAAGGCTTCACTAACCAGCCTGCAAATCCTCACAGGCCCATATCCCAACCACTGGCTCCCTGCTCACTCAGCCTCCTCTTGGGCCTCCTGTATCTCAAACCAGCCTAACATGTTCCTGCCTTGGGGCCTTTGCATTTTCTGTCCCTTCCACCTGGAATGTTCTTTCCCAGAAGTCTTCCTCCCTCTATTAATCCAGGTCTCAGCTAAAATATCCAGATCCTTGAGGCCTTCTGTGATGAACCATTCTCTAACAGACCCTGCTGTAGGCTTCTCCATCCCCTACCTGACTTCATTTTTCTCAGTAATGTTCATTGTCCAAGGCACATTATTTGATTACTGCTGGCCTCTCCCCCACTGAACTATAAGTTCCATGAAACCAGGGGCTTGGTTCTATTCTGTATTTCCCGGAAAAGTGTTCCTGAAATGAACACACTGGAATGAATGCACTGGGACAAGGGGGCCAGCAGGGAAGCCAGCTATAGCTGGTTTTGCTCTTTGGCCCCTGGAGATCCCTTGGCCCTCAGAGAATCCCACAGTGAGAAGACCCGGCTGCCAGGAGGAGGGCAGAAAGCCCTGGGAAGGATTTTGGAATGCATTTAGAAGAGAGATTTCTGAAAAGTTCCTGCACCTGACTCAGGGATTGGGATCACAGAGAAGCAACCTGCCCATCGCCCACCCCCCACACTGTCAAAGCCTTCCTCCTCTGCATTCCCACTTAGCATTCAAAACTGGATTCTGGGGAAGGAGAGAAAGAGGCACATGAGCTGGGAGGTGACGGCCACAGAACAGCCTGGAGAGTCCCTCCCTGGCTTTCAGAAGGAGGGTGGTTAGGCCAGAAATGCCAAAAGAAAGAACCCCCACACATACCTTGAATTAGGCAACTGGGGTTGCAGATATGGCTAATTACCACCCAGAGTGATACTGCCTTGTGACACCCAGAGGTGTGTGCAGATACCCATGTGGGCTCCTTAGCTAGAACAGGTCTTTGCACCCTAGAGCCTCCAGTATAAGGGAGGTTGCCATGACAACTGCATCCTGGCAAACCAGGCAGCAGGTGGAGGTCAGGAGAGGGTCCCAGAAGGGCTGGTGTGGTTTTAGGGTTTTAGGGGTTCCAGCTGTGGCTAGAGCCCAAGGAGGGCTAGAACACTGGTCAGTTCTTCCCGACTTGGCCATTGCCAGGGAGCTAGTTTGTCATGGCCCACCTTGAGTCACAGTCAAGTGAAGGGGGTAGAGGGACAGTGTACTCTCCAGAGTCTCCCCCACTCTCTGTCCTCCTGGTGATGCAGAGGCCCCAGCAGCAGAGCTTCCCTCTGCTCCATCTGACGGAGACGATCGGGACATGCACCAGCTGGCAGCTCCCATTTTCTTAGCCTCGCTCAGCTGGAGCTCTGGGGGAGGGGGATGCTCCAGGGTCACTAGCTGGTGGAGGGCAGGGCTAGGTCTTGACTTGTGCCCAATGCTATAGTGCCAGGCTGCTGAGGGAAAGCTGACCCCTTGGTGGGCATCTTCTTTCAGACTTATATTCACATCATCGACCAAAGGACCAGGAAACCTGTGCCCACCAAGTTTTACACGGACCCCATGGTGGTCTTTCATCACGTCAATGCCTACGAGGAGGATGGCTGCCTTCTCTTTGACGTCATTGCCTACGAGGACAGCAGCCTTTACCAGCTCTTCTACTTGGCCAACCTGAACCAGGACTTTGAGGAGAACTCAAGGCTAACCTCCATCCCCACCCTCAGGAGGTTTGCTGTGCCTCTCAATGTGGACAAGGTAATGGCTTGGAAGGGGACCCATTTCATTCCTGGGGAGCCATGAGCCTTCGTGGGAGGGACTTTGGCACTCATTTAATTGACCTTGAAATCCAAAGTGAGCTGTTCTTAAAGACAAAACATTTTTTCATTGTTTTTCCAAAAGTGCTGCATATTCATCATAGAAACCTAAGAAAATAGAGATTAGGTAAAAAGGAAAAAAACCCATGAACCTATTATGGATATATTTATATTACCTCCAACATCTCTCTCTGTAGGTAGACAGACATATTGATACACATATTGATGTATCTGTATATATGTATATATAATACGTATTATATATTATTAATATATACTATTAATACATATCTCAATAAAGCTGTTAAAAATTCTGTGTAATATAACTTCTCTAAAACTTAGAAATATATATGTATATTTTATATATTGCTTAATTTCAGAGAAGGAAGTCACAGAATTCCTCGCAGCTTTATTGAGGCATAATTTCATATACCATACATTTAAAGTGCATCATTTCAGTTGCTTTTAGTAACTTCGCAGAGTTGTGCCACCAACTGGATTTTAAAACCTTTTTTTTGCCCCAGCAAGAAACCTTGTGCCCTTCCACCAACCCCCTCTGCCCTCCACCCCTCGAGCCCCAGCACCGATCCACTTCCCATCTCGAGGACCTGCCTGTTCCAGACACATCACACACGTGGAGACACGCGCAGGGCGGTTTCCCACGGTGGCCACCCTCCCTCTGCCTCGTGTTTCCAAGGTCTGTTTCTGCCACAGCGTGTGGCAGCCCTTACTTCCTTTTCATGGCAGAATATGCAAATGCTTTTTTTCAGTTATGTGTATATCTAAACATCTCTCCATGACCTCCAATATTGTTCTCCAACATCATTTTAGATATTTGTCTGATGGTCTCCACCAGGATTCGTAACTACTCGCTTACCTAATGCCTTCCTGTTGATTAGTTCCCTTCCTGCATTAAAAATGACCAGTAGGCCAGATATTATCCTCAATTAGGGTGATGCTACCAAGGCTCCAGGCTTGATTTTGGAGGCTACAGAGATTTCTGGCTCCAGAACTCACTGACTTCATGACTTAATTAATTTAAATGAAAGCAAATTCAATTCAACTCAATTTTGATGGCTCCTATTTACTAAATGCACTCTATGTGCCAGGTACTTTGCTAAGCATTTTATTTTCCTTGCCTCACTTAACGATCAGAACAACCTATGGGAGAGGTCCTCATGTTAGCCTCATTTTACAAAGAAACTGAGACTCAGAGAGGTTAAGGAATATGCCCAAGGTCACACAGCCTCCAGGGGCAGAGCCATGATTAGCCCCTGCAACAGCCTACCTTCCAACCGCACTTGTAGCTGGTGTGAAGGTACAACTCTACCATCCTCCCCAGCAGGCCTAACTCCTGGAAGGAGCCCACAGAGATCATCCTGACCCCTCTCGGGGTTTTGCAGGTCTCGGGAATGGAGGACTCTGCTCCAGAAGGCCCAGGGAGCCTTCCCCCAGTCTCACTGCTGGGCTCCTCGATGCAGAAGCTCAGGCACGCTCCCACTCAGTAAGCAGGGCTCTGCATGTGCACCCAGGTTTGTCTGGCTCTGGAGTCAGGGTTCTTTCCTATCTTCCTGGCATTTCCCCACCTGCAGTCATAGATGTAGCTCTGTCATAATTTTCACCATATCTCCTATCACCTCAATTTAACATTCACAAAGTCATGTTTTGTTCAAACCATCTCACTCTTGAAAGGAAACCTGTCACCGGCCAGTGGAAAGCTAGCATTGCTTGTTGCAAATAGAAGACAAGCACGGGCATAAGGCATGGGCATAAAGCACTGAAGCTCCAGCCAGATATTCTTGCTTTTCAAGACTTAATCTCATTGTTAAAAAGAAAGTTCTAAAACTATGAGGTGTTAAAGACATAGTGGCACCTCACTGAGACTCTCCTCGACCCAACCAGGAAGACTGGAAGAGAAAAGGGAATGAACTTTCTCCCCTCGTAGTTCAGGGCTGCTGAATGAACAGCCACATTCCATGAAGTCATCACATGGGCCCCTGCCCTCTGCGGCCTGTGCTCTGGGCGGCACCACAATGCCATGCAGTGCCATGCTTGGTCTCCTGGTTCCAGGAAGCAGTGGGAGGCAGGGGGAGGGGGGGTGGTGTCACAGAGCACACAGGTGGCAAGTCCCAAGGCCTGGCCCTGCCTTACGCAGACCTCAGCCTGGGGATGAAACAGAGAGGAAACGCTTCCTCCCACTGCCCACACACCGAGGGATTTTATAACCTTTTATCGTGCTTGAAAAATGATTTGCTTCCTTGGAACCAAGCTAAGATGTTTTGCACGTATATTTTGAAAAGCTGCCATGTGAGCCACCTACTGCTTTGAAACTAGCAAAGAAGTGTGAGCCCTGGGAAGAGTAGCTCTGGCCACGCTTTTTAATTGCCATTTATTATCCCTTAAAAAGTCTTCTTGCTTCACTTTCAAGTTGCCCTGGCTGCATATGAAATCAAAAAGTTGAGCAGATGGACATGGTGGACATGTCCGGATCTGGCACCTCTAATTCCGTCCTATCCAAGGCTTTTCAGGACAGACTGTGGGAGACACCACCTTTCTCTGGCACACATCAGTCTAGGGCCTTCACATGTCACTGTCCCTCTGCCTGTAACCCTGTCCTCTTCCCATCGGGCCTCCACTGCAGTCTTGCCTGCAGGTTGGACTCACCTGGGGGCTTTGAGACCACACCTGGGCTAGGTCCTGGGACGTGGGGTGGGGAGGAGGGTGGGGAGGGAAAAGCAGGGTCTCAGCCCCCAGGGGCTTCTAATTTGCAGCCAGTCTAGCAAATTCCTGCTCACTCTTCAGATGTCAGGATCATCACTGTCTTTAGTGAAGTTTGTATGCTGTGCTCTGCCCCTGCAGCTCCTTGCTGAACATTTATCCCAGGTAAAGGAGCTTGTTAGTCACCTGCCCTGGGAAAGCTTTGAGAGGGCCAGAGCCATTGGTCTTGTCAGCCATTTATCCCCTGTGCCTGTCACAGGGCAAGCTTGTAACTACTTTAAATCAATGAACGAGTGACAGGTGAGTGAGAAATGTGTGAAGTGGGGGGTCTCTAAAAGGACACGGGTGTTTCTTTAGCATTTGGAACATTTCCCACGTGGAAGGAATGTGCAATGAAGTATATTTAAGAGTCTGGGACCTCCCAGCTGCCCCAGATTCTTTTGTGTTCTGGCCAGCTAGGGTCAAAGGAAGGTGGGGCCCCTTGGCACCCTCGGCCTGCTTATGTTGGGTGGCTCAGGGTTGTCTAAGGCGGAGCTGGGCTGGGAGGGGCGTGGACAAGTACAGACAGTTCAGGCGGCCGCCCTGCCCTCGTCCTGCAGGGCTCGGAGCCCTGCCTCCAGGTGGGTTCGTAAGCACTGGCCTTCCCTTCCGACAGCTACGTATGCACAAGGTGCCATCAGGGAAGGCGGCTTTGTGGACTTAGAAGGAGCGGTTTCAACCGGCTGAGTAGATTTGGTTTTTGTCTTGACCCCAAGTGCAAAAACAAAGGTTCAGTAATAAAAAAAGCTGCCATTTACTGAGTGCTCAGTATGTACCAGGCCCTGTGTTAGATGCCTTTTTTCCTCTTAGACCCCAGCAAGAGGGGCCACTGCTCTGGACCTGGCATTGGGGGGAGAGGGGATGGCCTGATCAGGCTTTCTCTGGCAGTGTCCCTTCCTCAGAGGAGTCCATAGGGCTCGAGGGGCTGTGCCCACCCAGAGAGGGGCCTTCCCCTGCCCCAACCATGAACCAGCTACCTGCGGTCCCTGGATACCCGGCCCAAATAGCCCCAAGACTGCTCCCAGCACCTGCCTCTCTCATCCTGAGAGCAGGCTGTGCCACTGGTGTACTGGCCTCAGACCCATGAGGTGGCCAGGGTTGGCAATTGCCTCAGTCATGCTGGCTGGGGTATCTGTGCAGTGAGAGAAAAGAGGGCAGAGACAAAGAAGGCCAGGCCCAGAGGCTGATCCTCATTCTGCCAATTCCAGCTCAGAACTCCAAGGAGTCCTAGAATTCACACATCCTTCCAGACCAGCCTTGTGCAAAAGAATCCGCTGCAATGACGAAACATTATCTAATGCAGTAGCCACTAGCCACGTGTGCCATTGAAATGTGGCCAATGCAGCTGAGGAACTGGATGTTTAATTGTACTTAATTTTTAAGTTAAGTGTAAATAGCCACATGTGGTCGGTGGTTGCCATACTGGACAGCACGGTTCCACATTAGGAAGGTCTATGTATTTGCTCAATGTATTTAGACATAGGGTTGGTGGGTCTCCACTCTTGTCTTGGGTCCTGCAAATTTTAGGAACTGTTAATGCTTTCCATGCTTCTCACGGGATTAGTAGGACACTCCTCTGAGTTGCTTATTATCCTCATGACTACAGATGAGAGAGAAAGTAACTTGCCCAACATCGCAGGAACATCTGTGGGATTTGAGCTGGGATTTGAATGCAGGTCTGTCTGGGCCCAAGTTACTAACTACGATGTATCTGACCCTCAACACAGTGTTTTTATAACTATTATTTCATTGTAACTATAGCCCTTAGACACAGGTCAAAGCATCCCCACTTATGGTCACTACCTGTCAAAAAGTTATGAGTCGCCCTCATATTTTATAAATGAGGAAACAGGCTCAAGGAAGGCTTGGGGATGAGGGTGGGGAGAGGCTGCTCAAGTTCACATAGAAACCCCTCGAGTCAGGTTTCACATGCAGGGCTTCTGAACCCCAAAGCCAATGTTTCAGGGAATTATCGAGATGGCTGCTTCTCCCAGGATTTCAAGGTAAACCTGTAGGATTTTGTTGACTTTGGGCTGGAAAGCTCTTTCAATGCTGAGCATGCTGGCCACCAAAAGTAGCCGAGTCATGTTCATTACTGCTGTGGAAAAATTCAGTTTATCCCTCAACCAGTCTGACCAGTTTTAGGCTGGAATTAAAAGACGTCTCTGCAGACATACTCCCTGAGACACAAGCCCAGGGCATGCACAACAGGCCTGTTGCTGTCACGTGACTTAGCAAGCACTGAGCAGAGCCTCCCCAGTGTGTGGTGTGGTGCAGGTGGAGGCCTTCAGACCTTCTGTTTACAAGACCCCACCGATGTGCTGGGTGTCAGGTGACTTTTGCATGCCTTTCATCTCATTTAATTCCTACAACTACCCTGTACAGTACATGTTTTGCACCTTGACAGTGGAAGGAAAACTAATTGAATCATGTATTCACTCATTCATCCAGCAGTTACTTCCTGGGAGCTATGTGCCATGCATTGAACAAAATCTGGTTCCAGTCTTCAAGAGGAAGACAACATGAAGGAAGCAGCTCCATGCAGGAGATAATTACAGCTCAGGACAAATGCCTCAGAGACACTGTAGATGCAGTTAGGGAAGGGGTTATTTGGGCAAAGACCTACAGGATGGGAACAGGCCAGCCCCAGGGCCTTTGTACCTGCTTTGCCCTCTGCCTGCAATGCTCTTGCTTCTAAGCAAAAGAACTCTGATGCAAAGGGCCTAGACTCTCCTTTCCTTTGTGTGGCCTTGGGCAAGTCACTTTCCTTCTCTGGGCTTTGTTTTACTCTTCTGTCACTTGAGTTGAACTAAACAAATCTCAAAGGGCCCCTGCAGTTCAACTGCTAGGATGCAGCAAATTCACCCTCTTTCCCAGCAAAAAGCTGCTGTCATTCAAATAGGTTTCCTTTATTTTTTTTAAGATTTTATTTATTTATTCATGAGAGACACAGAGAGAGAGAGGCAGGCTCCATGCAGGGAGCCTGATGTGGGACTCGATCCCGGGTCTCCAGGATCATGCCTAGGGATGAAGCGGCTCTAAACTGCTGAGCCACCCAGGCTGCCTGATGCTGTCATTCAAATAGGTTTCCTTTTTTTTTTTTTTTTTTAAGATTTTATTTATTTATTTGACAGAGAGTGTGCACAGACACACAAGCAAAGGAGAGTGGAAGGTGAAGGGAGAAGGAGAAGCAGGACCCTGGAATCATGACCTGAGCCAAAGGCAGACGCTTCACTGACTGAGCCACCCAGGTGCCCCTGAATAGGTATCTTTTAATGATAAAATCCTTTTTTGGAAAATTTGGAAAGTAGAGAAGAGTTTAAATGAGAAGAAGTCAGCTATAACAATAATTCTCACCCTGTAAACTCCATGAAAACAGGGACTCGGTCTTATTTCTCCTCCTTCATTGCCTAACCTGCACTCCCCTCAGTGGTAGTAACATAATAAAAAAATAATAAAAACGATGTAGGGGCACCTGGGGGGTGCAGTCAATTAAGTGTATGACTCTTGGTTTTGGCTCAGGTCATGATCTCAGGGTCGTGAGATTGAGCCCTTTGTTGGGCTCCTCACTGAGCACGGGGTCTGCTTGAGATTTTCCATCTCCCTCTGCCCCTCCCACTTGCATGCACACCACTTGCATGCACATCCGCTCTCTCTCAAATCTTTAAAAACATTTTCAACTGCAGCTAACATTTATTTAGTACTGATTGTTAATCAGGCCCTCTTGTAAACCATTTGTATGGATTATTTATTCTGCACAATACTTTGGAGACGCATATACTCTTTGCATGAGGCATCTACTATACCTTACACAGATGAGGCCACAGAACTTCAGCATTACTAAGTCACTTGCTCGAAGCCCCATAGCTGGAAACAGGGAGCAATAGAAGCCCAATAAATGTTTAATCAATTGTTTTAAGTCCCTCTCCTGGATTACAATGACGATGGTAAGGCCCTGAACAAAGCCTGTAAGTTGAAACCAAGGTATGCCCTCCCTAGACCTTTCACTCCAAGCAGTTATTTATTGCCTGTCTTCATTTCAGCAATGGTACATTTTCATAGGAGAAAATCCCGAAAATACAGATGAACACAGAAAAAAAAGTCCCCATAATCCCACTGCCTGCTGTCTTGTTAATAACTGGTGTATTTCCCTTAGGCTCTTTTAGGTGTAAGTTTTTATTTTTTGTTTTTTTGTTGTTGTTGTTGTTGTTGTTTTTTAGCCTGATTGAGCTCAGACAGCATATGCAATTTACTGCTTTTCTCAGGATTCTATCATGAGCATTTCCCATGTCATTATGAACTCTTCATAAACATCCCTTTAATGACTGATGCAGCCTTATACAGGTGAATCAGCCAGTATTTAAAAAGTGAGAACCTACCAGTACATTAATTTCACCTGTGAAAGATAAGCTAGGCGAAAAGAGCCAGGAGTTTAGAGACCCCCACCCCCATCCTACCACCATAGCTATGCTGTCTCTGAGAATAAGAGTAAAAAATACCGACAATATGCTGGCTGCTTCCTGTGGCTCACGTGAGGCCAGAACAAGATGACATCCACCGAAGCACTTTTTATAACATATTCAGTAAAGCAAGTGTCTGCTCTGGATAACCAGTTTTCGATTTTTTTTTTTTAACTGATTCAGAATGCAGAGGTGGGCTCAAATCTAATCAAACTGGCATCTACAACAGCAAGAGCCCTGAAGGAAAAGGATGACCAAGTCTACTGCCAGCCGGAGTTGCTTTATGAAGGTAAAATTCATCCTCTTTCTATGCATAGGGGAAAGGAGAGAAAATGAGTGAGAAAAATCAGAGAGGGTGACAAAACAGAGACTCCTAACTCTGGGAAATGAACAAGGGGTAGTGGAAGGGGAGGTGGGCAGGGGATTGGGTGACTAGGTGACAGGCACGGAGGGGGGCACTTGACAGGATGAGCACTGGGTGATATGCTATATGTTGGCAAATCGAACTCCAATAAAAGAATATACAAAAATAAAAAATAAAAAAATATATAGTAGATGCTTAGGGAAGAGGCAGGCTTTTGTGAATTCCCGAGGCCTCTCTGTACCTCCTTCTGATGCAGAGGAGCTGCATGCAGACAAGGGACAAACAGGAAGGCTCTTGCGGTGCCCCAGTGGAAAGCATTTGGGGACAGTTCTCTTTCATAGATCTTCGAACACCTCCCAGAAAGGCACTCAGCCAGAGGGTGGCCAGGGGTGGGGATGGTCATTGGATCGGGTGACTTTCATGGCTGGCCTCTATAAACACTCTGATTTATTGAATGCTCACTTACTGAACAGGGACAGTGTGTTTGCATTTCTATTTCTACACTTTCAGAATATCCTACAGAATAGAAGCCATCAGCCCCATTTTACAGAGGAGGAGATGGCTTGGAAAGGTGTGCCCCCCACAGAATGTAAACCCCTCCAATAAAAGTTGCACCCATGAGAGCAGGGCTTCTCAACCTGTGCACCCCTGATATTTGGGGTTTGGGTCATGCTTTGTGCCGGGGGTCATCCTGGGCACTGTAGGATATTGATCAGCATCCCTGGCCTTGATCCACCAGATGCCTGTAGCACCGACACCCTGAATTGGAACAGCCAAAAACCTGTCCAGACATTGCCAGTGTCTGGTGGGGGCACCATCACCCTGATGGAGAACCACTGCCCTAGAATATAAGCCTGTGAGGCAGGGACCATGTTTCTGTGCTCGGTGTTATCACTAGTATGTGACAGAAGTATGGCTAAGAGGGGTCTCTGCTCAACACAGGTGTGGAATGAATGGGCTGTCCAGGACACTCAGCCAGAGGGTGGCCAGGCATGGCTCTGCTTTGCTCCCCATGTTGGCTGCCCCATGCCAGGTTCAGGCATCTGGAAGGACACCATCCTAGAGACTTTGTTGGACAACCCCAGATTTGCCCATAAGAACCACGCTGTACAACAGAATCTGTGGCACCCCAGGCACTGGGAGTCTTTACAAGTGAATATATAGATCTTGGCCTTAGTTCTTAAGGGATCAACTTGCATCCCCACTCACCTGGCACATTGTGTGGGTAGATGGAAGCTTAAAACATTATGGTCTTTTTCGTATCTGAGGAGACTTCTTGCTTATTGTGGCAGTCTTGGGCAGTGCTGAAAAGCATGGCAATAGGTAAATCCCTCGGAATTCCTCCACCCCTGGCAACTCTTTGGAAATACGCATCATCTTTCTGTAGTGTATGGGTTGCTTGGCATGTGTCAGGTCCTCTTCTAGAGCTTCCCAGACCTCACCCTGTTATCTTTGGACATTAGATGAGTTTGCTCCAAGGGCCTGGCCCATAGAGAGAGTCCAGCACAAGGTAAAAGTTGTGGGAGAACTTCTCTGGGAGGCAGGTGTCAGCATGTGTCATTTTTGTTTTAGAGCTGAGGACAGCAAAGCTGAAGATAATACCATAACTTTCCCAAAGACAGGGAGCAGAGCCAGGATCTGAATGCATGTCTCTTAGACTCAAAAACCCTTAACCTCTGCATTTATAGTTTTACAAAATGTGTATGTACCATACCATCTTGAATATTCTGAAAAGGCTTCTTCCACTTAATGAATATAGCCTGGGAATTTCCCCATTTCCTGAAGATTCTTCAAGAGCATGGTTTCAGTCGCCTCACAAAATTCGCAGGGATGAATTTTACTATTTTACTTAACCAAGTACCTGAGGCTGGTCATTTACAGGGTGGAGGTAAAGGGGAGGAGGGTGGTCTCCAGACCAGGTTTGAGGCCCAGGAGCACCATGCGAAGTCTCAGACCTACTCTGGAGCCAATTGTGGGCAACTTTTTCTGATTTCAGTATATGGGTGGTCCTTCCTTCTCAAGGTCACTGTGACCTGTCTCTTGGAACTTTCATGATTATTTGTCTGTGGGACTGGACATCTTCTACCTCAATAGGCCATTTCCAGGATGCCTGGGTGGCTCAGCGGTTTAGCATCTGCCTTCAGCTCAGGTCGTGATCCTGGAGTCCCAGGATCGAGTCCAATATCAGGCTCCCTGCATGGGGCCTGGTTCTCTCTCTGCCTATGTCTCTGCCTCTCTCTCTCTCTCTCTCTCTCTGTCTCTCATGAATAAATAAATAGAATCTTAAAAAAAAAAATAGGCCATTCCCCTGCACTTCCCTTGATCCTAATCACCACTCATGCCTTGCATCGTTTTAGGAGGCCTCTGTGTGGCAGATTTTCCATGCCTGCTTCCTCTTTTCTTGGACATTTTCATCAGCAGTTGGCTCTAACTGCCTGAAATATTCCATAAGAGCGGGGGAAGGGGAGTGATTTTCATTTTAGCACTCAGACTTAGAAATTTAATTTGACAAGACAGGCATATATGTATACATGCACATGGACAAAATTTTAAGGTATTTTTTGATTACAAAAGTAATAGGCATAACAAAAATTTATCATAATTTGTACAGTGTACAATATAAATCATAAACTACAAGGAAGTTATTATCCTAGCAATTTTCTCTACATTTGTAACATAGTAGAGATAATTCTGTAACTAGCCTTTTATACTTTGTCTTATGGACACTTTCCCGTGTTATTAAATTTCTTTGTAAACATTAGTTTTACTTAGGTTATTATATGAATTCCCCAGATTTATTTATTCCCCATGGACACCCCTTTCCACAGCTTTAGAAGTTTTTTTCCACACCCTCATACACGTGCATGCACACATGAGTACTTTTTTTAAAAAGAGCTTTAAAAAAATTGCAGTAGCCTCTGATTTTAATCATGCAATTCTTTTTGATTTCTATCTTGGATAATTAAAGATGCTATACACAAAAAACTGGGTCTATCTTTCCTTGCTCCTGAACCTTCTAATAGAGCCAGGGTAATTATCAGAGGTTCCCTCCCCCTGCCCTGTTACCAACCTTGATCTAATCCAGGGCCTGAAGCCAGTTCAGGGATCCTGGATTGGGAGCGGTTGTTGTGGACAGGATGCCCAACATAGCATGAAGGCTGGATGCTCCCAGTCCTCAGTGATGGGGGCTTCATCAGCAGTGTCATTCTCTCTCAGGTTTAGAGCTGCCTCGGATTAATTATGCTCACAATGGGAAGCGATACCGCTATGTCTTTGCTGCTGAAGTTCAGTGGAGTCCCATCCCAACCAAGGTACCGATCCCTATGTGACTTGGGCTGGTGCTCCCTACAATGACTGTGTCTGCCTGCAAAGCTGAACCCTAGGTTCTCAGACTGGTGACCTTGATCAGAAAAGGGAGGTCCCTTTGGAGCATATCAGAGAGTGAAGTCCAGTTGGGACAGTATACAATGGAAGCAATGATGAGTCATCCAAGAGAGGCAGCCATACCTGATGGACGGAAGCTCAGCAAAGAAGTCACAGCTGTAGTTTATCCATTGATTTCTTTATTCAATACATTTTATTGAGCACTGACCATGTGCTACAACATGGCAGCAGTGAGGCTAGGAAGTGAACAGAGTGATCCCAGTCCCTGCCCTGAAGGAACTCACCCTTTCAAGCAGAGGGCTGAAACTTGAAGCATTTATTTTGTTACTTGTTACTATTTGTTGGACACTTACTGTATCCCAGGGACTATGCTGAGTATACAGACATCACTTGTCTTTAATGTTTTCATTTTTAATAATAAATGGAATATCTTTTCTCAAAAATGCAAGCAGTGCAGAAATGTACAAAGCAAAAAATTAAGGTTCACACACACACATAAATACAGGCACACACACACACACACACCCAAGCCACTCCCCACTAATCTCACATCCTAAGGGGAAAAAGGTCTATTAAGGATTAAGAGAAATCCAGGGACTTGCACTTTTAAAACAACAAAAGGATAGTATTACACTTTAAATGTTTGCATCGAATACATTAGTTTATGTAACACATATAAAAATTGCAACGTAGCTCCAAATACTAGATAAATTCAGGATTTTTATTTTTAAAACTTCAGTATGTAGTGTCAGTTATGGGGGGGGGGATGGACAGGAGGACCTTTGCTTAAAGATGGAGGAGGAAGAAGCTAGCTGCTTTCATTTCTGCCTCTGATCCTAAGTAGATGTCACTTGGAGTCTACACTGGAGGGGCTTAATCCTCTGTTTGTGGGCATTGATGTCATCTGTTCCCAGGGAATGAGCCTGCTTTCCAACAGGTCACTCATGTGTCTCTCCTCTTTGGATGTATAGATACTGAAATATGATGTTCTCACAAAGTCATCCTTAAAATGGGGACAGGAACACTGCTGGCCAGCAGAACCCCTGTTTGTACCCACACCAGGTGCCAAGGACGAGGATGATGGTAAGACTCCAGGAAAGGGAGCCTGCCTGCTGCGCTCTAATTGCAATCACCCCTCAAACAGAGACATCATTTGGGGGGCAATGACCTCCCTCCACGACCCCCACAGCACATAGCTGGTGGAACCAGGCTTTGAAACCCAGGTCTGTCCAAGTCCAAAGCTGTGAGGTTAAGGAGTCCCTCAAAGCACCCTCACTTCTGACACCAACTACAAGTTGAGCAGCCCCAAGACCACCCTGGGTTTTGACAGAGGGATGCACAGAACACACTAAAAACTACTGTTACTCATGGTTACGGTTTATCAAGTGAAAGGATGCAGATTGAAAGAAAAGATGCTCATGGGACAGAATCCAGGAGAATTGTGTGCATGGAGTATCTGGTTGTCCCTGGAGGTCATGGCCCACCCCAACTCCTTCAACAATATCCATGCGGTATCACCAACCAAGGAAGTCCTCCAAGCCAGGAAGGCAGAGCTTTTTAGGGGCTTGGTCATGTAGACATGGTTGGTTGGCCATGTGGCTGACCTTCAGCCTTCAGCCTCTCTGGAGGTCAAACTGACATCTAAATCACTTTGTGAGGACAGATTATCAGGCTGGCCCCAGGTAAATAAAGACACTCTTATGAGGGAGGACAGTATAGGGGCTTAGAGGTCACTTTCCAGGAGCAAAGCTCAGACCTCCCTTTGGGAGACATTAAATTATTCATTACACAAAAGCCCAGTTCCTTTCTACTTTAAAATTCATTGCAATGGCTGGGAGAGAATTCTTAACTATCTCTAAGCATGTGTCTTCTGCATGGAGCACCTGTAAATGCATATACTCCTGGGGATGCTAAGGAGGGCAACTAGAACCATGGGTGGGGCTGCCCCACTGAGCTTGCCAGCTGCTTCCCTCAGTGAGGAGTGGTTTTCTGCCTGGGTCCTGTCTACCTACTGGCCATGTGTGGCGTGGTATGGCACACCAAGCGGGGGACCCCACATTACTGTCACCTCAGAGGTAGGGGATGGGGGGAAGCACCTCCTGCTGAAGCTGGCCTCCCACTGGGCTGGCCAGGGCTTCCCCTACATTCTCTTGTGGGCAGGGAGTAGCAATGTCTTCACCAAAGGAGAGGCTGAGGGAATGATGTCACTTACAAGGCCACACACACCGTGCCTACAGAGTTAGGATTTTAATCTAAGCCAATCACCCTGAGACCCAGGAGGCCTTGGGAGGAAGTTTATGGGCATTTATTTCATTTAATCCTATATCCCTGGAGAGTGAGTTCTTAGAATACATATACACGCGCGCGCACACACACACACACACACACACACACATCCATTTTATAGAGGGGAGGGCTGAGGCTACTAGCGTGCTGCATGTGCATAAAGTGAGTTGGGCTCGTTCAAATGCCATTGAGTGCAGCCAGTCTGAGTTTAGTTAAGTGCCATATATTAGCCTAAATACAGCATCTAAACTGATTCTCTATAATCAGACTTTCTAAATAATAGCCAAATAACCATTCTCCAACATATGCAATACTTTCCAAAAAGCTTTCATTGTTCCCCATGCAAGAGATTCTCTCAGTAACCCTGTGGGGGTAGGGAGGATAATCCCTACTCTGCAGATGAATGGACTAAGGTTGGGAGAGGCAGAGGGACTGGCCCTGGCAGGGCTGGAACCAAGTCTTCTGATTCCTAGTTCCCTGGCCTCTCCCTTCTCACACAGAATCTCAAATTTGTTTTCCTTTTATTTTGATTCCATACTTAAAGAGGACAGGGAGACATAGCTGAGAGACTTAGCCCTCCAGCTAGAGGAAGTTCAAGTGTGCACTTTTACAAAGTGTCTCTCTTTGTTTCCCCAAAGGGATTATCCTATCGGCCATCGTCTCTACTGATCCCCAAAAGCTGCCTTTTCTACTTATTCTGGATGCCAAAAGTTTTACAGAATTAGCCCGTGCATCTATTGATGTAGAGATGCACCTGGATCTCCATGGGCTATTCATCCCGGACACAGACTGCAACACCGGGAAGCAGGCCGCTTCCCAGGAAGAGCGGGACAGGGCTCCGGACTGCCACGCGGCCCCACAGATCTGACTGGGCTGGGGCCTGGGCCCCTCCCTGGGAAGAAGGACTCCAGGCTTGCTTCTTCTCTGGGTGAAGGGGACATCCTTCATTTTGTTTTGCACTTATTCTTTCTGTGGTTGCTTTGAGACGAAGGTATGGAAATAGTGCTTGTCAGTATCTTTTCTTTAACTTATTTTGGCCATAAAAACCTTGTTTAAAAGTGGATCAAATATTTATTGATTAGCTCAAGCACTTCTAAGAAAGCCTTTTTCCCTTATTATAATGACAATGACCAGAAATTGTATTAAGTCATATAATCATCCTTCTTAGAATAAGCAACCACGGAGTTATCAAAGAAGAGACAAGTATTTTTCGCTGCTCTGTCCTGCCACCCCTTCTTTCCCTCTTCCCAGGAGACTAGATTATGCATCTGAGAGTCCTAGCTTTCTCCACTGAGCCCTGTTAGTAAATTATGTGGCCAGGAAGGCAGAGTACTTTGTGGTCATTCCATGCAAGGCATGGCATGATATAAAATAATAAAAACTTTAAAATCTGTTCCAACCTTATTTAATTTTTACATGGCTTCTTTCCTCTGAAGTTCTTCTAAGGCAATAAAATAGAGCTGGACAGTTTGTAGCCAGCTAGATGCCTCATTGTACAACCACTGGGACAGCAATGGTGTGGGCATTCCCCTTTGCAGGAGGGGGTTAAGGGGCTGGACACTCACTCCTAGCCATGGCTAGGGGGCTAGAATCTAGGATCAAGGCCCAGGGCTGGCATGAGGAGTTCTTGCCTAATGGTGAGAACTAGGGCAGTGAGCCATGCTAGTATCTGTATGGGAAAGTAGGTTCCGCAAGCTGAATGTGCTGCCAGGATGGACCAAGTGTTTTCACAGAGGTGAAAGCAGGTTGGTGGTGGGGATGGCGGAAGTGGGGAATAAGCCACGAAGGGTCTCACATGAGCACTGGGAGCTCCATGGATAGTTGAGTCCCACCTTTAGTCTAATGGGTGCCTGGTTTAGAGACCCAAAGGTAGACTGGATAATTCCAACATGCCCATGTCACAGGGTCAGGGGAGTTGGGAGTCCACCCTTATTCTGCATCTGCCTCCTACCCTAAGTCTGGATTTCCTTCGGTCACCAGTAGGGATCCAATGACATGTCTTGAGGACATGGAATACCCCAGAAGGGGTAGACCTCTGAGTGTGGTCTTGGCTTTTACCCTGTGGCCACCACGAAGCCACACTTAGCTCCCACTCAAATGTAGGCTCCATCAGGTCTGGGAGCTGGGTTTTGTTTTGGGGGTGTTTTTTTTGGACATTTTTATTGGAATAATTATAGATCCATGTACAGTTCTAAGAAATAATACAAAAGAGATCCTGCATGGACTTTACCCGGTTTTCCCAATAGTAGCATTATAGTACAGTATTGCAACCAAGAAGATACTGATATTGATTCAACCCACAGATCTTTTTCACATCTCCCCAGTTTTACTTGCACTCATTGGTGTGTGTGTTTAGCTCTATGTGATTTTATCATGTGTAAGTTCTTGTATCCACCCTCATGGTCAAGATACTGAATAGCATGTCAACACAAGGATTCCGTATGGTGCTTTTTTACCACTATAACAACTTTCTCCCACCATGAACCACCCCTCACCCCATCCCTAAGTCCTGGCAACCACCATTTCTAAAATGTTGCCATTTCAAAATTTTTCTATAAATGGAATCACCAGTATTAGCTTTCGGGGGTTGACTTTTCATAGCAGAACTGCTTGGAGATTCATCCATGTTGTTCTGTGTTGAGTGTTTTTGTTCACTACTGTATCTTCAGTACCTAGAACACCACCTGGTGCATAACAGGCTCTCAATATTCGCTGAGTGAATGCACGAGTGAATTCCTTCAATAAACAGATTGTTGGTTGATAATGTACCACCAAGAAATGGGTATTTCCTAGTGATCTCCTGGGAAGATAAGGAAGACCATTCACATGGAATCCAGTGACAGCACCCAAGAGTCCCCAAGCAGATTCCTCTCCCTGCCATCCACGATCCCTCCCCGCTCTCTTTCCCTGTTGATTCCTCAAATCCTCTCTCCCATCCCAGCATTTCCATTTCACTGTTGGCATATAGATCCCACGCCTCTGACCCCCGGCGATGGCAGAATGAAGAGCATCTTGCTCCCTCTGGGTGTCCCAGCACCTCCAGCCTTCATGAGATCAATTGGAAGGAAATGTCAGCTATGGTGGCCTAAGGAAAATATGATTAAGGTCTGCATGCAGATAGTAGGAGTGGAAAAGCGACAAATGTGACACCTACTCATTACTCTACTTCAGGTATTTGAGAAGAGGGTGGAATCGAACGCTTCCCCACCCCCGTTCTACTCAACTGCAATTGCCAAACAGTATCCAGACCTACTCACGAAAAAGGGTGCAGTTCTGTGAGGAAGAAAAATATGTCTGTGGTTTGTTTACCGTGTTTAAGATGACAGGTGAGATACCAGACTGATGAGGAAGCCTGGCACGCCAAATCTTTCTTTCTCAGTCTCAAAAACACCAAACGTCGATGACAATACCTGATTTATCTTGATCCTTAACTCCGTCGTGTCTCATTACACACAGGCCAGGGTAATCAGCCCCAAATGCCATGGGAGCTAAGACGCATGCGCCTGTCTTGAAGGCACGAGACCTCCGTCTTACCCTCTCTGAGTCTTCCTTGTTATGCTTCATGTGGGTGTGACATGTGACCAGGAAGTGCGACGGGAACAATCAATCACACAGACCTGTTTATTGCTTTCATAAATCCACAGCATTTCACAAGTGCTCTGAGATGTGTCAGGTACTTGGTAAGCCCTCAAACATCTGCTCACCCACTTTTTCCTTCAGAGGTTTTTCTAATTTGATTCCAATTCAGGAATAAACTGGATGTATACTTGGGACAGATCAACTTAGGAAACATCTCAGTGCTTTCGAGCTACATCTGCATTACTGGTTCACACTTGCTTCCTCCCAACCAAAGTCACAGAGCTGACTCCATTGAGAACGTTGCTGGTCCAGGTTAAGTCCAAACATCTTTGATCACTTCTTAAGTTGTTTAAAGACTGTTTGGGCGGTTTTAAAATGGCCAACAGAAGTCTTACCCATGGCAAATCAGGACATGCAGACAGAAGAGTCATTACCATCTTCCTCATCACCCAACAGGGATGAGACCTGTGGCTTCTACCTCAACTTCCTTCTAGGAGTTTGGATCAGCCACCAGGTGCAGACACAGACACATACACACACCTGACTGCACCAGCTGCTGGGCCACGTCAGGAAAGAGTCCCTTGAGGTCAAGCACCAGCGTCTTGGAGGCTTGTCCAGCCTTCTTGGACAAGGTGAGCAGAGAGAGATGTGGAAGCACTGTGTTTGGGCAGGGTGGGGATGAGCCAGTCTTCTTTCCTCTTGGTGATCAGGAAAGGCTTCCCTGGAGGAGTGCATCTTCAAGCGCTGCCTCAGTGTGTGGATCGAGCCCCTGACAAAGTGCTGGTCCTTGCAGGCTGATAGTGTAGCTCAGGAAAAGGATTTGGGGACAGGAGTGGGTTGACTGAACAAAGCAGATGGAGAGTGACTTCCCCAAGAAAGAGCAGTTGAAAGAGTGAGAGAATTAGGTGATTTTTTTTGTCTGATTATAAAAATCATATATATTCATCAAATACCTGGTTACATTAAAAAAGAAATGGGAAAGACACCCATAATCCTACTATCAAGAGAAAACCCCTGAAATCATTCTGGTGGGTTTTTTTTTTTTCAGTATTTAAGATATTTTTGTGCACAGCTTATAGAGTAGCAATTGGTAAGCTACCCACCAGTAACCTACCCCAGTTTATAACTTGCTTCTCTCACTGAACGTACGATACAGGTATTTTCTCAAAGTACTGAATTCTTCTAATGGGAGCACATCATTTCATCTTTGGGACAAGGCATGATGTATACTATCCTACCATTGGATATTTAGGTTGCTTCCAATTTTTTACTATTATAAATAATGCCAGATTAGTAACTTTGCACACACATTTCTAGAGCTTACCCTTCGCCCCTGCTCTATTCAACTGCTTATTATTGCAATTTTCTTTGACTAGATCCCCAACGTGGTATTTCTGAGCTAAAGAGTAGAAAAACAACGTTTGAGGTGTTCTTTGAAAGACCTAAGGTTTTGGGTTGATTCAGAGGAAACTGAGAAGCCTTTATAGAATCCAAGAGGCTCGCAGGGTCAAAGCGGCTATAGGTCATAGAAAAAGGGGGTACTTGGTAATATAGCTTTCATCCATATCCTCCCTTTCTCCTCTTCTCTATTCCATCTCCTCCATATCTTTCCACTCCGTGCAGATGCTCCCACTTTTCCAGGTCTATATTCACTTCACTCATTCATTCATCCATTCAGTGATTACCAAAACTGTGTTGGCATTTAATGCTGAGCACAACCTCAGCTGTCCTCAGGGAACATATGGCACAGTGAAGGACACATCACCAGAGAAACAGATGAACACGATTTGGGGAAATGGTGGTAAGAAAAAGGAACACCTCAGGGGGTGCCCAATGCTGCCCTGAAAACCCGGGATAGTTCATACGGGAAGGATGGCAGTAGGGAACCAGGGGAAATGGGTGATCTGGATAAAGAAACAGTCCTGTGCTGAGGCTTGGAATCAGGAGAGAAGTTGGCAAATTTAAAAAACTTGAACCATGGGGTATAAACTGCACAGAGAAGACAGGTTTGGGCCAGAACCCCAATTTATCTGTAAGAAATAGAACTGGCACTATCTAAACAGAAATCTCCAGTGGCCTCTTCGAGGACAATCAAGGACTGATAGTCATTCTTCTATTTATTTTTAAAAATATTTTAATGATTTATTTAGAAAGAGAGAGAGAAAGAGGGAGCAGGCATGGGGGTGGGGGCAGAGGCAAAGAGAGAGAATCTCCAGCAGACTCCTCAGCACAGAGCCTGACACAGGGCTCAGTCTCACAAACTGAAATCATGACCCTAAGCCAAAATGAAGAGTTGGATGCTTAACCATCTGAGCCACCCAGGTGCCCTGATAGTCATTCTTCATAATAATATTTTTTGAGATCAAACTCACATACCATGAAATTTGTTCATATACATTTAAATAAAAATTTTAAAATTCACTCATAAAATGCACAATTAAGTGGTTTTTGTATATTCAGTGCTGTGTAACAAACACCATGGTCTAATTTTAGAACATTGTCATCACCCCAGAAAGAAACCCTGTCTGCATTAGCAGTCTCTCCACCTTCTGTGTCCCCACCCCAATTCAAGACAACTCAAATCTGCTTTCTGTCTCTGTGGATTTGCCTGCTGTGGACATTTCATATAAATTGAATCACACAAGTTATGGAGTTTTTGTGACTGCTTTCACTTAGCATGTTTTCAAGGTTTGTTTATGCTGTTGCATAAATCAACACTTCATTATTTTTGTGGCCAAATAATATTCCATTGTATGAATAGCCCACATTTGTCTATCCATTCATCAGGTAATAGACATCTGGGCTGTTTCCTCTCTTTGGCTATT